CATAGAGTTTTGAGGTTTAGCCAATGGATACATCCCAAACTTAGGCATTCTCACTCATGTACGAGCAGCACTTTTATACCGCCCAAGACTTCCAGTGTTTACCCATGTCACAAGCAGTATCATTAGCTTTATCACCCCCTAGAGCTGGTGAAAGTCTCTACTTGTTCTCTAATTCCATCGTTATTTCCAAGTCAACGAAACCAAATGACTGTTTGCTGGGTCAACAAGTAACAGGACATTTGAAGTCAATATTTCAATCAATTTAAACCTGATAAGATGATATATATATATATTATTTATGACAGCCATTTGATTGAGCACTGACTGATTGCATTTGTGCTTGGTGGTCTAATTTTGGAATAAAAATCTTAACAATCGATTGTTTATATTCACAGAATACTTCATTAACACTAAATTATTCAAATTTATACATACATACCACTGTAAAAATGTTAATAAAAGTTTTGAATGTTAACATCGTGTCTAAGTGTCATTTCTTTTGTGCAGCATAGGAAATACAATGTGACTTGAAAACATATCACTGACTTTAAATCGCGTCTCTTGTGGCCTTAGATACAATAGTGGTGTAATAATAACATTTAATATCTGGAATGTGCTAGTTTCGAAAACACTTGATTGCCACATATAAATTTGAAATGTTTTTAAATTCTATGTGTTAACAATTTCAACGATATACTGTAAAAAACTTTATTTTAGCTGGGATTATTTTTTGCTGAAAAGACTTTTTGAGTGTTTTGTATGGAATTTATTTTCACTGATTTTTGACGAGTTTAATGTAAAATATAGGAAAGATTATATTTTCACTGAATCATTTCTTCATTGAAATAAAGTATTTTACAGTATCAATTCATGGGTCAAAACATTCATTCAAGAGTGATTTGAGATCAACCATCTGAATTCAAGCCTTATTTTAGTTTCAATGCTTCATATGAACTGTTCCAAACATGATGAAGAGGTTATTCACCGCCAACAAAAATAATACAGTGTTATATTACTATTACTATATTCTCACTTGTCTGCGGCAAAAAAACTTGTTGTCGGTGAATAACTAACGATTGTATGCTTAGAAATACAATGTTTCTATCTGGAAATATCAATGAAGTGTGTACATATTAGAGAATTTCAGTATTTCACTGAACAATGTCTTAAGTTCTATGATCAATAATAATGAAATTTATTCATCAACATACATTGTACAGTATCAAATATAGTATTAATCAAATAAAGCACAGAATGTTTACAATCAATGATGGGATTCTGTCAGTACAATGTTAACAAAATAAAGTGTTTGCATGTGACGTCAATAATCTTGACAGTGTTATTGTTGATGATGTATTTTTTCTTCATATAAGAGAAAATTTGAATGTCTTAACGAGTGCAAATACAGAAGTGAATTCTATTGTTTTTTAAATGAATAATATTATGAGGTAATTACCAATATACCACAAAATATGCACAAATACAGTATGGTGAGGTGATTGTATCGACCAATGTGTAGTGGTGATTGATGTGTTCCTGTACAGCCTGAATCCATACTTTGCAGTATTCTCATGGTAACCTTATTATTATACATCTTTCCTCTGCTTGTATTAATAATTTAATGAGAGATAACAGCCTGAAATGGCAATGAAGAGCATTTTGTGTTGTTTGAGTTTAGTGACAGTATTGTATTTCCATCACAGGATTTTTTAATAGCAATTCTGTGTCTGAAGTAAACAAAGGAGAGTGTTTGAATTTGATGTAAATGTGATGCACAATTTCCAAATAAGGAAGACATCTGAGTGTCGTTAACACTTTTGAACACGTCTGTATGCCATATTACAGATGGATAAATCTTCTTGCTTTCAGTGTTGTATATATATATTGCACTTTACTACAACTATCCTACTAGTCTATAAATGCCTTAATTCTACCGTATGTTATATATCATATGGAGGCAGACCCCATTCTTCAGGTACAAAGTCTTCCATTGTTTCTATCAATAGTTGATACCCTTCTGCCCAGAATGGAGAATTTTTTTCTAGATTTTTATCTGGCATAAATACAGTGTTCATTCCAGCTGCAAGAGCAGATTGGATTCCATTGGCTGCATCTTCAAATACAATTATCTATGGGAGTATACAATGGAAATTAGTTAGTTCAGGAATCTATGGGATTTCCACAGTTTAGACATCTGTGGAAGAATACTATAGAAATCAGTCACTTCATGTATGTATTATACAATATGGCATATAGTCATTTCAGAAATTTGTGGGAGAATACAATGGCAGTCTGTTAGTTCAAGATATCCCACTGCTTTGCATTAAAATTAGCTGCTAGTAAGTAAAAGAGGTATTTGATTTTACAAATGCATTTCTGGATGTGATTCACTAGAAGTGAAATTCTATACATGTCACGCACCAGAATTGAACCTCCCATAAAAGCACCTGTGAATTGCAAGAAATAAATTACAAAAATCAAGGTCGAAAAGATCAGCCAATAGGTGATTTTCCATTCAACTGCGAGATCTCGCGAGATGCATGAAAGAACATCTGCCGCAAAAATCGAACGATTTGATTTTGAACTCAAATTCCTTATTTCGTAGCTCACATCGACCGCCCGCGATCTTCGACAGAGGAATATTGCTTTTGAATACCCTCTATTGTATTTTTCTATCATCAAATGTGTACAGCACATTATTAAGCATGGAAATGTCCCCCAAAATATGTTTGCGCTTGTTGAATCCCACATGATGTTTGATGCCGCTACGATGCTATGACCTTTGTTTGTCCTGTTTTTAAGTTCGATTTCACGCACAACGCGTGATTCTCGCAGTGAACGGAAAATGGTCTATTATGAACACATTAGAAATGAGGGCACATTTCATTAAACTGAACACACAAAACAAATGATGCAATCAACGTAGTAATTCACAAAATAAACTATCTATTTGAAATAAAAAGAATTTGTATGCCAAACTGTTGTTAAAATAAATAAATTTTCATAAACATGTGCTCCCTGTGGAAATGAAACTAGTCCACTATCACAAGGCGGGTTTTTCATCAAAAAAGATCAAAATAAATTTTAAAAGAAAGACATAACAAGCATAAGTTGCTGTCAGGTGCAGGTTTACCATGTTTGATATCTGAGTCTGAACTATGTGATGAAATAGATTACTTCCATATCATTACTACTTACATTTTGTGGATTAGGTGAACCACCATCAAATCTATTTGCAGCCACAGTGTAAGCGTCAGGTGCAGGTTTACCATGTTTGATTTCAGGATCACTACCACAGCATACAATGTGATGAAAAAGTTTAAAAAACTCTTTGTGATTAGTTTGGGTTTTCAAATTAAACATATCCTGTGTGGAGCCTGTAGACACTGCAATTGGAATGTTACATCGGTGTAGATGTCTCACCAGCTTGTCAACTCCTGCAATATCAACAGATCAACATCAAAGTCCGGCAGTTGCTATGGATATAGTCATCACAACCAACAGAAGATGTTATATATTAAAAGTACAAGTAAGCCATGCCACATTCTACATATGTTTTCAATATATTTTGTCGTCAGTCACTTATAATTACACTGTTTATGGTTTTGAATACAAATTATATTTCAAAGGCGATTCATTTTCAACGATTATATTATAGGTTTCAAACCACAATTGCAATTTTTACCAATGTGTGGCACCCATGAAAGAAGTTATCCTTATTGTGACAACTCTTTATAAGTTTTACCAGAATAAGCTTCGCTAAATGAAAGGAAGACAAACTGGTTTTCAAATATGTACGGTAGATTGATACAGAGGAAGCAGCTGGGTCAATTTCTTTCAAATATTGCTAATACCAGTTTAGTTGAATCAGCTTAATTTTTGTGATTTTTAACATCTGTGATGATGCTGTTTATTTAATCAAATAATAAAACAGCATCATCCACAGA